ATTCCAGAGTTTTGGCCCCTTTGCCGAGAAAGCAGATTGGCCAAAAGAGGTCTTATACTTTGGAACAAGACAGTCACCACTAATAATGGCTCGTGTGTTTGCCCTATGAGAGTTCTGACGCCTACTGACCAATTCAGAAAACAGTGGTGAAACATGGTTCTTTAGACATTTAAAAACCAATTTGAGATAATTATTTCAACAGTCAAAGTCATACTGTATGTATGAGACAGAAATAATTGTATTTGCTGCATTCTCATTTGCATCCTTGTTTTCTGAAAGTACAGTATCAATCTATTTTGAGGCTCACTGTGTTTCTATTTCTGTTATAACGGTTTAAAAAATGGCATCATCCAGAGCTCTTGTAGAACTTTGCGTCTTTACCGCGAGAGAAGCAACATGCATGGAGTGCAAAGGGCTTGAATGAAGCATGTTTGGCTCTAGATAAAAATATTAGTGGATATAGCGCCGATAGATCATTACCATAAATGGTGTGTACAGCTCTGTAGAAATGGTAAAATGGTACTAACATTGTCATTATGTCTCACAGCCCGGTTGGAACCAAGCTGGCATATGGATCCAGACCACAGTCCACTATTTGAGGACATGGAAATGCTTGATATTTTGTATTTTGAATTTTCAGAAAGGCCTATGCAAAACTTTTTGGATGGAAACTCATTTACTGTCTCTTGCAGCATAGGCAGCATGGAAATGGACATTTACATTTATGCATTTGTCCAAAGCATCACTGCACTTAAAGTACACATTTTGCCATTATGTGTGTGATCCCTGGGGAGAGCCATGCTCTATCAGCACTGTAACAGGTGTTTTTTCTGTGGTTATACATATGCAAAAAGCTCACTGGATTTCAAATCAGATTAACATAATTTTGCTTTGTCCTTCTTTGTTCACTGAGATCACTGCAACAAATTCTAAGATTGCATTCACTATGAAGGATACATACAGTGCTGCCTTATAATTTGGCAAAATAAAGGTGTCTTAGGAGGCATCAAAGTGGTCAAAGTACCAAAACTCAAGAGAAAGCTCTCTAAGTTGCAGAACAGAGAAAACGGTGTACAGACTCAGGCCGGAAGACTTGCTGCTCTAATACTTTACCGAACAGCGAAAGACCAGATGGATTGGATATTGTTCAGCATCAAAGAGGGATGTCTGACACGGCTCTGCTATCAGCGGATGCACACAAGTGCTTTAGAAAGGGTTGAATGGGCCTATCTTTTTGAAATGCTGAAGAGATTTGGATGCGGTGGAATGGCTTGTTCTATAAAAATCCTATATAGCTGCCAGGCTGATCAACAACATGGTGTCAAAGTCGTTTAACATTTCCAGAGGCAGGGCTCTGTCCTCTGTATAATTGTCACCGAACCTTTTGTAGAGCATAAAATAGCCTTTGTGCTATTGATGTCTTACTCTATCTAAACTGCCTTGACACATTTAATCATGCTTTACTAAGCTGCATTGACACATTTAGGAAAGCATTAGGCTGCAAGATTAATAAGCTGCACGATTCTTCGTTACTCAGAATTATTATTCCGAAATGAACCTTCTAATAATACACATGGACAGATGGTGGATTTTTTATCTTAAATTTTTTAAAATGTTGCTCACATCCCTGGAATCTACACTACTGTGCAAAAGTCTTAGTATTTTCACCAACAAAAAAAGTAATTTAGTCAGAAGGAAATATCAGTTTACATTTCCGAACATTCCTTTTGCCATTAATTGTAATAATCCAGTGAGATTTTTGTCTGACAGCAGCCAGTGCCCCACACAGAGATCTGATCTGATCATCATCAGTCTGTCTGGAATGACATGAAGAAACAGAACAAACTGAGACAGACTCAATCCAGAAGAACTGTGGCAACGTCTCAAAATGACACACTACAGCAAAAGATAGAAATAACTTAAAACCCTTTTTTGTTAGCGAAAATACTAGTGGTCTAAGACTATTGCACAGTAGTGTAATTTATGTTATTTTTTTCTCTGTATCTGTACATTATCTACAGCTGTGTCTGTAGATCCTAATACTCTTAATGACCCACTTCACACGTGTAGATTGTGTTTTGTTTTGTTCTGCTTTGGTTTAGTTTTCTGTTTCTGTCTGCCTGCCTGATTTTCTAGTTTGTCTCCTTGGTTACTCATTAGTCTACTGATTATCACACCTGGTCCATGTTTCATTGATTATCATCCCTGTATATAAGCCCTCAGTTGCCTCAGTTCTTTGATGTATGTATTCCTTGTCTCCTGTGTACCTCGAGTGATTTAAGTCTCTGAATTTATTATTACAAGTTGTTTGAAGAGCATTACTTCCATGTGTTTGTTACTTGCCACACAATATGTGACAATGTACTTATATTATATATATATATATATATATATATATATA